TTTAGAAAATCCAAGACACATTTGCATTCCATCTTCTTGTATTCATAACTTTTAATGGATACCATTGAAATGGTCTGATCATTGAAACAGTAGTGTTGAGTGCAAGTACTTCAAAATAATTTACAACAAATAAAAAGGAAAAATAGGCCCCCCATAACTCTTCCTAGTAGTGAGGCCAGTGGTCCTTCCTCCTCTGCTCCATTCCCCTCTTCCCACTGCAATTCCTTGCAGTCAAAAAACTAACATCCCTCTTTGTAGCCTATCAAAATGCTCGCGGCTTACGTAGTAAGCTGAGCACTCTTTTTATGGATAGTTTCACATTTTCATCCCATGTTATTGTGTTTACCGAAACCTGGTTAAAGCCGGACATTCTTAGTTCCGAAGTTTTGGCAGATCGGTACACAATTTATAGGAATGAACGTTCGTCTCGACGTGGAGGAGGGGTTCTGATTGCAGTAAACTCTAACTTTACGTCGGAACTTTTCATAGTCCAGGTCTCACAAGACCTGGAATTCTTCTGTGTTAGACTGATTCTTCCCGGCCAATCTATTTATGTCACTTGCTCGTATATTCCACCGTCTTCGGATGTACTAATATACGAGCAGCATTTGTCTGCCTTAAAAACTGTTTCTTCCTCGCTATCATATAAAGACCATTTAATAGTTCTTGTGGATTTCAACCTGCCAGGTACTGTCTGGTCTTCGGTTAACGAGTCAAACAACCTTGTGCCCATGTCACGACATGAGTTTATTGATGGCTTATTAGACCTGTCCCTGTCTCAAGTCAACCATGTAAAAAACTCCTTGGGTCGATTGCTTGATCTGTGCTTTGTCTCGGATCCGACCGTAGCGTTGTTAACACGAGCACTCCCGCTCACTATACCTGAAGACTGCTATCATCCTACTTTCGAAGTGTCGATAGATATTGGACCTACTGTATCGGACCGTGCGGGTAGGCTATCTGAACGCGTCCGCTGCTTTCGTAAAGCCGAGTTTACGAAGCTCAATAACTTAATTCGAAATTTTGATTGGTCCGCTCTGTACTTGTGCAGTGACGTCATTGAAGGCACAAACATTTTTTACAATGTACTTGACACAAAACCTCCTTGGTTCACCAAAGAGTTATCCAGTCTAAAAAATCTAAAATCAAGACTATTTAAAAAATCTCAAGAAGTTGGTTCTCCCTCTTCTCTTTCTAATTACTTAATAGCTCGGTCAAATTTCACTGTTCTTAATGCTCAATGCTATAGGAACTACCTCCTTCGATGCAGGATACGTTTTTCAAAGGACCCTAAACAGTTTTACAGCTTCGTAAACAGTAAGCGTAGAACGTCCGCACATCCATCCTCGCTATCATTTTTGAATATGTCGGCAAACAATAATCAGGCAATCGCCGATCTTTTTGCACAATTTTTTCAAACAACCTATTCCCAGCAAAGCTACCCAGGTCATATGTATCCATATAGTTTACCAAGGTCGAATGGCATTTTCTGTCCTTTGTTTAATGAAGGCTCCTTACTTCGTGAACTTAAATAAGTTAAGCCGGTATTTTCACTGGGCCCTGACGGAGTTCCCGGCTGTGTACTCAGGTACTGTGCCGAGTCTCTGTGCGGACCTTGGCTTAAACTATTCACTCTATCTATCCATTCTTCTAGCTTTCCCCCCATCTGGAAGGAATCCTTTATAATTCCTCTCCATAAAAAAGGTAGCAAGTCTGACGCTAAAAACTATAGAGGTATATCTAAGTTATCCGCTATTCCTAAAATGTTCGAGAAACTTTTAACTCCGCACTTGCAGCATCTCTGCAAATCACTTATATCTCCAGCACAGCACGGATTTATACGGCGACGATCAACAACCACTAATCTTTTAGAGTTCACCTCCTTTGCAATTAAAGGCTTCCAAGGTAACTTGCAGACGAATGTTATTTACACTGACTTCAGTAAGGCATTCGATTCTGTAAACCATTCTCTTCTTGCACAAAAGCTCGACCTTCAAGGGTTTCCGCCCAATCTTTTGAGATGGATTTCTAGCTACCTGTGTTCTAGGTCTCAAAGGGTCCTTTTCAACAACTCCTTATCGTTACCTGATATGGTTACTTCTGGAGTACCACAGGGTAGCCATTTAGGCCCCTTACTTTTCACACTCTTTATTAATGACCTGCCTTCTGTATTAACAAATTCTCGAGTACTTATGTATGCGGATGATGTTAAACTCTGTGTCCAGTATAAGGACATTTAATTTCACTCTCGCTTGCAATCTGATCTCAATAGCTTTCAGTCATGGTGCTGTGCAAATATGTTACAACTTAATGCCTCGAAGTGCAATCTTATGACCTTTTATCGCTCCAGCCCCTTAATGGCTCCTTACACCCTCTGCGGTAGTTCTCTTGAGAGAATTACATTGGTTGATGATCTAGGTGTTAAACTAGACCCCAAGTTAAAGTTTTCTGAACACATTTCTACCATGGTAAATAAAGCCATGGGTGTGCTTGGGTTTATAAAGAGGTGGTCAAAGGAATTTGAGGACCCCTATATAACGAAGACTCTCTATATCTCGCTTGTTCGTCCGATTTTAGAATACGGCTCATGTGTATGGTGCCCTCAGTACAACATACATCAGGACCGTATTGAATCAGTACAGAAAAACGTTTTATTATTTGCCCTACAGGGCCTCAACTGGGATGCAACTGTGAGACTGCCATCCTACCGTAGTAGACTTCTTTTAATAAATCTTCCATCCTTAGTTAGTCGTAGAAAAATGCTTGGTGTAATTTTTATGCACAACTTGATCAAGGGGGATGTAGACAGCCCTGACTTGCTGAGCCGCATAAACTTTACGATTCCCATTAGACCCACTAGAAACTTTATTCCTTTGTTCCTTCCACTATGTAGATCNTGTTAAACTCTGTGTCCAGTATAAGGACATTTCATTTCACTCTCGCTTGCAATCTGATCTCAATAGCTTTCAGTCATGGTGCTGTGCAAATATGTTACAACTTAATGCCTCGAAGTGCAATGTAATGACTTTTTATCGCTCCAGCCCCTTCCTGGCTCCTTACACCCTCTGCGGTAGTTCTCTTGAGAGAATTACATTGGTTGATGATCTAGGTGTTAAACTAGACCCCAAGTTAAAGTTTTCTGAACACATTTCTACCATGGTAAATAAAGCCATGGGTGTGCTTGGGTTTATAAAGAGGTGGTCAAAGGAATTTGAGGACCCCTATATAACGAAGACTCTCTATATCTCGCTTGTTCGTCCGATTTTAGAATACGGCTCATGTGTATGGTGCCCTCAGTACAACATACATCAGGACCGTATTGAATCAGTACAGAAAAACTTTTTATTATTTGCCCTACGGGGCCTCAACTGGGATGCAACTGTGAGACTGCCATCCTACCGTAGTAGACTTCTTTTAATAAATCTTCCATCCTTAGTTAGTCGTAGAAAAATGCTTGGTGTAATTTTTATGCACAACTTGATCAAGGGGGATGTAGACAGCCCTGACTTGTTGAGCCGCGCAAACTTTACGATTCCCATTAGACCCACTAGAAACTTTATTCCTTTGTTCCTTCCACTATGTAGATCGAATTATGCCTCACACGAACCCTTTAGGGTTTTATGCTCGGATTATAATTCCCTCTACCACATTATATCCTCAACTAACTCCCTTCCTCTTCTTAAATTTCTTATACTAGCCTACCTCTCCCGTAATTAGTTTCATTTTAGTTTTGTCTTGTTTGTTATTTTGGTCATTTTTGCTTGCTTAGCTATAGTAGCTCTAGTCTAGTTATGTTTAGCTCTAATTTTCCTCGAATATTAGCCTAACATCTATCTTTCCTGCATGCTCGCGACCGGTTCGGTTAATCGCGCCGCGCGTCATGCGGCAGCACCCCTCGGTCGGTTGGGCGGGAGGAGGGCTGCGTTCTGCTGGGTTCCGCGCGTAACAGGCTTTGGCTTGGTGTCGCATGGGCCACTTGATGGTGCAGTCATTGCATATCAACGTCCAGAAGAATTTATGAGATATTTAAAACAGCAATAAAATTGGTACATTCTTTGACCGATAGGTTTCACAGCAAATTTTTCGAAAGTGGCACCTTCTTTTTCTAATACAGAGCGTTAAAACCCGAGTCTTGGTTAAAGTCGGAAGAGTCTTCGCCAGGGGGAGGGCAGAGGCAGGGGCCGAGTGAAGCAGAAGCAGAGTGTGAATGAGAGAATGTAAAAAGAGCAACAAAAGCTGCGGGAAAGGGTGGGTTTAGCCACTGGAAATTAATCTCTCCATTGTGGCTATGATCTGATAGATATGGCCATTTCCTACGGAATGGCGTTTTTAGTTTTCTTTTATGTTCAAAACTGTAGATTTGGGAGCTTTTCGCCCTTTTGCGGGGCGGAAGGGGGCGTGGTTCATTTTTGAAATACACTTGTTTCAGTGTGAGCATATAGCAGTCTGGATGCAAAAATTGGTGGCTCTAGCTCTTATAGTCTCTGAGAACTAGCCGACAAACAGGACGGACAGACGGACAGACAGACATGGCTCTATCGAGTCGGCTATAGATGCTGATCAAGAATATATATAGGATGCAAAATTGGTCGCTCTAGCTCTTATAGCCTCTGAGTACTAGCCGCTATCAGGACGGACAGGTGGACGGACAGACAAACATGGCTCAATCGACTCGGCTATTGATGCTGATCAAGAATATATATACTTTATGTGGTCGGAAACGTTTCCTTCTGTGTGTTACATACATCCACTTTGTGCACAAATACAATATAACCTATTTACTCTTCGAGTACCGGGTATGAAAAGATTTATGAAACAAGAGATTACATATATGTATATGATTACATATATGAATAATCAAATAAAATGAATTTCCTTGGCGTCAAAACTATTTTAACAATAGTATCTTTTAAATTGCTTGGAAACTCGAGAAAGTGTTTTTTTTTTTTTGGTTTTGAAACAGCAGTAACCTTATTTCAAATCGTACATCGAATATAGAACGAGAAGGGACGTGTGAGACGCTTCTTACGCGTCACAACTTTTATACCCGGTACGCAGTAGGACATCTGTAGCTCAGTGGTTCTATTCAAATTTTACATTTGCTCTACATATGCTTTCTACATCTAAATCTACATCACTTCTCACGCCAACCCGCCCTTTTAGCTCGCCCCTCTCCCCTAGAGCTAACACCTCACGAAGCAGAGTGTGGATGAGAGAATGTGCAAAATGCAAAAAATGCTGCTGGATGGGGTGGGCGCAGCCAATTCGATGATCTGACAGATATGGCCATATCCTACGGAATGGCGTTTTTAGATTTCTTCTTTTTTTAAAACTGTCTATACCGCAGATTTTCGAGATTTGCGTGTGCAGAAGGGGGCGGGGCAAAATTTTGAAATACACTTATAGCAGTGAGAGCTTACAGAAGCCTGGATGCAACATTTGGTGGCTCTAGTCTCTTTTATAGTCTCTGAGAACCAGGCGCTCAACACGACGGACGGACAGACGAACGGACAGACATCAAGAATATATATACTTTGTGTGTTACATATTTTCTCCACAAACACAACATACCCTTCTTTTACCTATTTACTCTTCGAGTACCGCGTATAAAAATTCCTTTTAACATTATATGTGAAAGTTTTCCCCTATAAACAAAGATTCTAACAAATCAGACATCCCCTTAGAGATTCCCTCAGAAATATTTCCCGAAGACAGACAGACACGCACTTAGGTAAATATATCAATTTCGTTGATGGCCCCACAAACGAGAGACAAAAAATCTTCCTGCTAAAACTCTCCTGTATCCCCCTAGCTATCTCCCTGCCCCTTTGCCCACTGCCCCCAGCCCATGCTCGTTGGCCGATATCGCAGAGGCGCCTCATTAGCTGCTGCATTCGATGAGGCCTAACAAGCCACTTAATTTAAATTTAAATTTAAATATCCTTGCTTTGCGTGTCGTCCTAGCAGCGCCAGTTTCTGTGGGGGGAAACGTAGTTTGTCTTCGTAGCGTTTTGGGCCCCTGAACCTGTCCCGGGCAGTGTTGTTGTCTGACACGATGGCAAGAGATTTATTTTGGGTATTCTATGGGCGACTAAAGTGCCCTGTCAACGTAGCAGTTGCGTTCATACGTTGCCCCTGCCAACCAAACAACATTGAGGGCAACAGCGATGGTGGTCTCCTTGGAGACTCACAGCGAGTGAGCGGGAGAGAGCACTTGACACCCAAAATTGATGCACAGCTGCAGCACCGCACCGAGACCGTGCCACATTAATTAGGCAAAATATTGACATGCTGATGTGTGGTGTTGGCTATTGATTTATGCATCTCGCTCCCCGCCTATTGGAGAATTTTATTGGATTATTTTCAAATACGATTATGTGTGGATGCTATCGTGTGGTGTGTGGCATGTGAGTGTGTGTGGTGAATCTATGTGAGTTTTTTGGGCAGCATTATGGATGAACTTCTGTGGATATTACCTTTTTACTCTTGCCCTTTTTGCCGCAAGTGTTGAATGGACTGAGGCGTAGCATCAAGTGAAGCAGAGCATCCCATCGGCCTCTGCCTAGAAATCAAATAATGTTTCGGTTTAGGCTACATTAAAAGCTGTTCAAAAAACTCTCAGAGACTGCCAGACTTAAGCTACATTTTTTGTTCTTACCATACTTTTGTTTGCTGCAATTTCTTCCCATATTTTGAGAATCTAAAAGTTCCTCAGAATTGGTCTTTAAATACTTTGATGCCAAATCATTAGACACCTTTGATGCCGTATCATTGGAAATGTGTTTGCCCAAAATCGAAAGCTTTTCGCTGTCCGTTAGATGCAGAGAACTTTTCGTGGATTGTTTCAGTTTGAAACATCTTTGTTGCAGCGCATTGCCCTCTTCGATTAACTTTTCATAGCTCCTGAGCAGCCGTCGCACATCCACATTCTATAGCTCCTCGGGCAACTCGTGGAGATCATTCAGCTGCTGCGAGGTCTTGCGAAGATCCTCGAAGCCCTGAATTAGTCTTTTGATATTAATATGGCCGGACCTCGAAGTCGAACTGCCTTTTAGTTCACCCCGGAAGGTCTCCCCCACAGGGGGAGGTGCTCATCCGGATGAACATATCTGTGGCCTGGTGCTCCCGCAACTCGCGGAGTTGAGTCTTCAGCTCGGCGAGGTAGGCCAATTCGCTGGCTGTTGGCGGCTCGGTTGCCATTTTCAGTTTTGTGTAGGTCATCAATCACAAGGCAACCCACCCACAATAAACAGAGAATTTTGCGTCTGGATTTATTGCGAGTTTGATAAAAGAAGTAAGGAAAAAGTCTACTCGGATTGGATTGTACCAAAATATTTCGACTGGTGTTTTGGCCTATTACTCGATATTTTTATGAGCCTCAAATTGAGATATCGGTGGCGCGGCGCCGGTGGTTCCTAAATGAGTTGTAACCCACAGCCTCTTGCCTCAAAAACAATTGATAGAGCAGGATATATACACCTCTCTATATGTATATCTTTAGTTTAGCCTTTTACTCGTTTCGGCTTGGGATTGTGATGGTGGGCAGGGGATTGGGGGTTAGGAATTTCACGAGGAAAAACGTGACGCTACAGGGGCGTGACTGCTGTTGATTTCACCTGAAGGTACTGCACTGTAATCTCCCCCTTACAGCCTCCTGCAGCAGCAGCAGATCCCCAGACCTCTTTTCGATCCCACCTCCTCCTTCTGGACTCTGTGCAATTGTTGTTTTCATATTTTAATGCTTTTTTGAGTTGGTAGGCGTGCTACAACACGATTCTTTGGCCCGATAAGCTGTTATTTTTATGGCCCCGCTGAATCGGATCGACGCGGAGTGCCTGGGCACTGGGAGTACAGTGGGAGTAAGGAGTACGGAGTGGACTGCTATGCTCTGTGGTGTGGTGTGGGCTGGCTGCCGACTTAAAGAAGTTGAAATTATTACACCGCAATTGTCTTGATCGTTGATTTATGTGCGCTTTTGTTGTCGGCTCTTTGGGTCTTTGGCTCTCGGCACGGCACTCTCAAATCCGTTGTATATTTTTCTTGGTAAAGTTTTGGGCCAGGAGGCAAATTTGTGTGGCTGTTGATATTTATTAGCCCCGTTCGGGGCATCAATTGTGTATTTAATATGGGAAGTTGATTTTGCCTCTCATTAGCCACCGCTTTTTTTGCATCCAACCACCTTCCTTTTGTTGGTTTTTCCATATATCTCGTTTGTTTCTTTATTATCCTCCATATACCCGAAGAGTAAATAGGGTATATTGTATTTGTGGGGGGAACGTTCCCAAACCCCACAAAGTATATACATATGTACATCTATTCTTGATCAGCATCAATAGCTTATTCGATATGGCTTTGTCAGTCCGTCCCTCCGTCCGGTTGTCCGTCCCGATGAGCGACTAGTACTCAGAAACCAGAAGAACAACAGCCACTATATTTTGCATCCAGCCTACTGTACTATCACACTGTTAGAAGTGTGTTTCTAAATTTCGCTCCCACAAAGGACGAAAAAGTTCTACATCCACAATACTGAATATAGGAGACAACTAAAAATTCAGCTCCGTAGATAATGGTCATATCTATTAGAGCCCCGAATTGAGATCGGCTCAGATCCTTATTATTGCCAGAATGAAGAAATGTATTTTTAGTGGCTTCCGTCCACCTCTTCCAGCAGCTTAGTTTATGCTTGCTTATTGTTGCCATTCTTTCTCGCTCGCACACGCTGCCTCATGCAGTGCGTGGCTCTGGGGGAGGGCAACAAGCTAAAAGTACATGTTGGTGTGGGAAGTAATGTAAATGACAGAATTAAAAGAAAATGTAAAATTAGAAAAACGTATAAGGTTAAAATTCTCGTGTTTAGCCAACAACGAGTTGTTTGCTTAGTGATCCATGCTTCTGTAAGCTCTCACTGCTATAAGTGTATTTCAAAATTTTGCCCCGCCTCCTTCTGCACACGCAAATCTCGAAAATCTGCGGTATAGACAGTTTTAAAGAAAGAAGAAATCTAAAAACGCCATTCCGTAGGGAATGACCATATCTATCAGATCACCGAATTGGCTGCGTCCACCCACATTTTGCACATTCTTTCATCCACACTCTGCTTCGTGAGGTGTTAGGCTCTAGGGGAGAGGGGCGAGCGAAAAGGGCGGGTTGGCGTGAGAAGTGATGTAGGTGTAGATGTAGAAAGCATATGTAGAACAAATGTAAAATTTGAATAGAACCACTGATTCGATACAAGTCCAATCTCCGTGCAGCTTATCTGCAGCGGCTGACACGAGTTTCGATGGCTACGATGGCGATGGCGATGCCGATGTTAATCAGCAACCAGCTCACGGACGCGGAGACGTACGACCGATGCAACATGCGGTGCGCTGCACCGCACAGAGATCCCGTCGAGATCGCATTAGGCAAGGGGCAGAAAAGGGCATTAGGCAAGAGGAAGGGGAAAATAAGCAAGTTGCAAACTGTTGGCGGCATCGCCATTGATTTCACTTCGCGACCCCGTTAGCGCTTTTCGAATCGTTTTTACCTGCAACATTTTGTGTGTCTTTTCTCGTTTCCCCCCCCCCCCCCCCCCCCCCCCCCCCCCCACTACCCACTAGGACACAGGGGGGGCCACCCAGCGACACACAGGCAAGACGATATCGCATCTCATGATCCTCCCTCGCGACCACCCNTCAGCCCTGCTCGCTTAAGTGGTTTTAGCTGGATGAACTTTAGCTGGAGATTAAAACTAAAATCGTACATTCAATACGTCTCTAAATGGTTAATGAGGTCGATCTTGACAGGGGAAAGGGCATAAGGAGCAGGCCTAAATTATTTTAAAGCTTTATAATATTCTTTATAATTTATTTATATGTCTTTATAATTACCATTCTATGAAGAGAACTGGGAGAGTTATTGTATGAGTTACTTGCAAGATTTGCCCTCCATTTTCTTTGATACAATTCTTGCAACCTTTATCCTCTATTTCCTTAAATTTAAACGTCTTATAATTACATTTAAATCCAAATAGAATAATTGATAATGAGGTTATATTGATTTGCGGACACATGGACACACAGCATATGGAATGCAATCAGTGTACACACATCCGAAATGTCGACGCCTAGTCAAATATTAAACACACTCACGAGAGTGAGATTGTCATGGTTCCGCGGAACATGTTCCAACAATTGTAAACTGACATAACAAATAGTTCTAAGAATTCGTCATACTTGCATGCCACCAGAGGCTGAAACACGAACACGAAGCACACGCCCACATTTTGGACAGTGCCATGCGAGCAGGAGCATGGGCAGGGGCTGGGGAAATTATGTGCCTTGTGTGTTCACTTTGATGTTGCACCGACGGACGGACATGCACGTTGGCAGACGTCTGTTCACCTAATTATCACACTTTTTGAGGCCTCGTAAAAGCGAGACGAGACGAGAATCAACCCAAAAAGGTAATGAGAGGGCGGACGGACAGAGTTTCGTTTTCCATGGGAATGAAACGTGAAACATAACGTGTTCCATTCCGTTTCGTTTCGTTGCATTGGTCTCTCAGTTGGGAAGCATCATAAACCTATAAAAGCGTGAAAGGATAGGAGCGGGCCACATCAAAGGGGCTCGCCTAGCATATGATATATATATATTTAAGACAGAGTAGGAGTGCGGGAGCGAGGTTCCATGGGGTATAATTAGAATGACTTTGCGTTGATCTACAAAGGGAGCGTCTTTTTGGTAGTTGAATATGATATTTACATAAAAAATCTATCCACGGAAACGAATCGACAAATCGAACTAATCAAAAGTTACCTACAACTTGATTATCGATTGAAGTTAGTTCTCGCAATGGCTCGACCCCTTCCGAACCAATTTCCAGCACACCTTACCCATTCCTTTTTTATTTATAAAAATATAGCCCCTCTCTTGTCCATTTATCAAGCAAAAGAATTGGAATACTTACCCCCAGGCCAACTTCATTTGAGATTTCTTGTATTAGTTTCAGTGTAGCAGCCAAATTAGCGGCAATTTACATCCGCTAACGAGAGAGTGAGAGCCACGGCGCTGGGGGAGAACTGACTTATAATCTATGGGATTTACGAGAAGCCAAGAGAAGGCAGGAAAGAATTAGACCTTAGTCCGGCGGGAAATGAAAAATCCCGACCAACGGCAAAACCGCCAGCTACACTTGCACATGCTAACTAATAAATTTCATTGATGTGTCTATTTTCGGCTGCCCCCAATTACTCAACCCCTCCTCTTTAGAGCCCTAAAGAGCCTCCTCCAAGTGCCAGCCTGCAGCGGAAGCAATTTGTAGCTACAAACTGTAATTTCCCAACTAAGACCTGTTCCCTGTAACGTCGCTGGGCCAACGCCTCCTCCTCTTCTGATATTCCTCCAACCAAATAAAAAAGACGTCGATAATTCTTAAGGCAACGGCGCGAAAATCGGGCAAGTTTTCGCTGTCAGTGGTCGGTTCTAATAGGGGTAGGGGAGGGAGGACCGGCGTGTTGGCTTCACAAAGCAATTGCTGCACATTTTATTTAACCTTCTTTATGGCCTCATTATGTGCCATACACCCCGTCCGGCACCAGGACCGGGACCGGCGCCGAGGCCGGGGCGTGCAGGCAAAATATATATCTTTGCCGCAATTCTCCGGAATCGGGTATAGCACACTCTTGACTTGTGGGGAACAGAAGTCGCTTCGGGAGCCGAAGGGATGGCAAAATGGGTGCGAAATGTCTGGCGGAAATGAGGCTACGAATCAAGCAAATAAATGTTTTATAAAATGTTTCCAGCACACACAAAATAACTACTGGGGAGGAGTACAGTTCCAGACCCAGCTCTGGACCTGGCCCTGGCTCCAGCTCCATCCCCAACGTTTCTCCGAGCCATTAAAATTAAATTTATCGTTCGCAATGTTTTAGGGTATTCGAAATTTCGTACAAAATGGAGTTACTTGGCACTTTGGTAGCAAAATGAATGCAACTCCAACCCAGTCAAATAAACTGCTACTTTGTCTCTTAATATTTCCACTAGAGAGCCAGCGAGAGTCTCTGCCACACATATTATTAACGATGATGTCTCTTTTAGAGTGGTTTTTAGAAGGACTGAAAAAATAACAGAATATCCTAAATATTACTGATTTATTCTATGCTTTAAATTTAATATCTTAACGTCTCTTGTTGATATCTTTATCGCCTGTCGATGCTTTCTTTTGCCTTGTTTTAAATTTACCATATATCAATTCCAATCAAATTGTTTTAGGCAAAAA